TCCGCAGAGATGTAGCTCCTGACACTACACAAGAGAGACAGGCGTGCTCCTGGCTTTGTGCTCGCTGTGCCGTCCTGCGAGCCTCATGCAGCACCCTCCCCAAAACCGGCTTGCCAGTGTAGCACAAACCCAGCCCAAACCATTCGTTCGTAAAACCAAAGCAAAAGTGTTTTCCAGAAGCCGCTGGCGCAGATACTCACTGATCCAACTGGAAGTCACTGTCCTCCTGGCTTTGAGAGGGTGGGGAAGCAGGCTCTCTGGACAAGTGCTGGGGAGTTGAAACATTTCAACAACTAAGCAGTATGCATGGGAAACAGAACCTCAGGACCTCGCAAGAATCCAATTAGGAGCAAAACTTTGGAACGACATGGCCATGGTATCGCTCAGAGCTAAGACCAGCACCAGGGATGTTCTGTATGTGACCTCTTAAAGAGCAAAAGACATCTCTGTCCCTGACTCAAGCCCTGCCTTTGACTCCAAGGGCACTCAAGTATCCCACACTCCTTTCCCGTCAGTAATAAACTGAAATCAAAGACTACAAACACATCCACATCCTCCGGCAAAGAAAAACACACCACTGCATCTCAAGTGCGTTCACACAGAGGAGCCGAAGCTGGGATCTTCAAGGGAGTTACAGCCTCACATCTCACAAAGCCAACCCTTTTACAGCCTGCTTTACTCACAGCTTGAGTAGTTTCTCTCAGGTCTTCAACATGGAGCTCAGCTTTCCTTCTTGGAGACTCCACGCTTTCTTCTGCCTCCAGTTGTTTCAAAGTCTCCTGTTTGCTCCTGACAGCTGCCTCCAGCTCACTGGCACAAGAAAAGGCAAGTGGCAGCACTTGGTCAGCCTGCATGTCCATTACCCAGTAACCTGCCTGCAGCAGTGTCCAAAGTGACCTCTTGTTTCCTCCAGGAAAGGGCTTCAAACAGGCGAGAACACCAGTGCGGGATGTGCAGTGCCACGTCGAGCACAAGCCCTGGCTGGGCAGGGAGATGTTGCTTCACACCCATGTCGAGCAAGCCCTTACCCAGAAGCTCAGCCACCTCAGTGAAACCTTTTTTGTGTTTTACTGCCCCTCTCGGAGCATCTTTTTAACCTCGTAAGCCGGATGGGGAGAGGACAAACAGTGAACCCAACAAGCAGAGGTGACGGGACAAACTTTCCCAGCTGGGTATTAATGAATCTGGAAACAGAGCCCAGCACCTCCACACCCTCTCTGTGCAGTAAAACCACCACCAGGATTCTGAAGGAATATGGCGCAACACAGGGAAGCTCAAAGGCAAGGGAGAGCTCCAGGTCAGGTTAGAGAGGTTTTGGCTAGGGGCACAGGGTAGTTTTTTTGCATTAGAGAAAACGTCTCATCCACGCACCTGATGCGTTTCTGCAGCCTCTGGCTTCGGGTCTGCAACAAGTCCACCTGCGCCTCCAGCTCAGCTTTCTGGTCCTGGAGCTCTTCGAGAGACCTACGCAGTTGCCGGATGGACTCCAGGAGGCTGGCATGCTCCTTCCTGTTCTCCTCCAGGCAGAGCTGAGAAGCTAAAGCAGCTTTCTAGAAGAACAAGAAATCCCTTGCAGTCATTTCCACAACGCCAAAACGAAAGCACACAGCATACCAGAGACTTCACAGGAGGTCCCAGAGCTACAAAAGCACACACCAATCCTGGGAGAACAAGACTGTCTCTTCTTTTTGGGAAATGGCTCAGGCTCCTGGCAGGATGGCACCCCAGGCTGAGGCAGGGAGGGATTCTCAGGCTCCCTGGTTAGAAGCCACAGTTTGCTTTTTCAAAGCCATAGTCCCAGCGTGCTCGCTGCACCCCCAGAAGCGGCGCCGGCCCCTCTCCGCAGCTGAGGCATACGTACGTCTCTCTCCAGCTCAGTCTGTCTGTCCTCCTCCAGCAGCTGCTGCCTTTTCGTCCTCAGAGACTCCTCCTGTACAGATGAGAAGGTCGGTGAGTGTCAGCGAGGAGACTGCCGATGCTGAGCAGCACTGGAAGGACGGAGGTCAGGCCTAAGTCTCGGGACCATTTCAAAGCACGTGAGGATTGCTGTCGGTTTTGCTTTATTCCCCCTGCTCCCCTCCTTTTATCTGGCTCCGGGTGAGAAGCTGGGGATATCTGCACTCCCATGGGAAGAACACCCCTTCCTGCTCGGCTGCGAGTTCTCAAGGCACATGGCCGCTCCTGCACGATCTCGCTGGTGGGAAGCCTCTGGCTGCCTCCAGCATTTCTCCACTTTTTTTTTTTTTTAATTCCTCACTCCAGAGCTGCTTGGAAAGGAAAGGTCAACAGAGGTGAGGTTATCTGCAGCTCTTGGCACAGGCCACGACTTCGAGATCTGGCAGGCAAGAGCATCAACCAGTGATTTTTTGCCAGCTCCACAGTAGCATTTGGAGTGCTTCCCTCTCCCACTCTGCTGCCCAAGATCCGGGAACGCTCGTTCCGGTTTTGCAGCAGCAGGCACAAGAGTAGGTAAGTCAGGAAGAGACCAACTAAAATCCAAAGCAATGCGGAGCAGGATGTGCTGCCTTGGAAGGATTTGATGATCCCTCTGTCACCCTTACAGCCGCTCACTGTTCCCAAAGCACTGGGCAAACTCGGGGCACTGGCTTTCACTGCAAGCATCAGCCTTGAGGCTGTACCACTAGGAATGGCTTTAAACTGAAAGAGGGTAGAGTTAGACTAGATCTAAGGAAGAACAGGTTGCCCAGAGAAGCTGTGGATGCCCCATCCCTGGAAGTGCTCCAGGCCAGGTTGGAAGAAGCTTTGAGCAACTTGGTGTAGTGGAAGGTGTCCCTGCCCATGGCAGGGGGGTTGGAACTAGATATTTGGCTCTGACTCGTGATAGAATTTTGACCTGTAACTCAGATGGCAGCAAAAGCCCTGGCTGAGCACCTCTGGAAGCAGCCAGAGTTGCAGCACAGGCAAGGGAAGCTCTGTGAGCCCAACGGGGCTGGCTCACCTGGCTGAGGAGCTGCGCTGATCTGGCTTGGACCTTCTTCGAGCGCATTTCTAGCTCCTTTTCCGAATCCCGGAGTTTTCTTTCCTGCAGAGAGGTGGGAGTTAAAGCCAGAACAGCCCAAGTCCCTCACTCAGCAAGCAGAGCCCTGCCACCAGGAGGAACAAAAACTGGGACAGCATGACCTGCTGCTTGTATCACCCTGGGCTGTGGAGGGCGGCAGGTGCACCGAGGTGTCACAGTACCCAGATCACCCCCGGGCAGGCTGAGTCACAACGACTTGCTAGGCAAAGCCTCCTCCTCCTCACCTTCTCCCTGTGCCTGCGCTGCAGCGCAGCGAGCCGCTCGTCCAGCTCTGCCTGCAGAGCTTTCACCTCTGCCTCGTGCAGCTGTCGCAGGCGTGCCATCTCGCTTCGCAGGCCTTCCAACAGCTCCGCTCGCCGCTTCCTCTCCTGTTTGTCGCAAAATATGGACAGGGAAAGCGGCTGAGTGAAGCTCAGGTTCTCCAGGAAGGCAACATGAACACGTGGGACACCCCTCTGGAACACCAGCTCATCGCACAGCAGCTCCTGCGCAAACTTCAAATTCAGCAGATGAAGATCTCTTGCTTAGAGGGACAACCTTGTTAAGGGAACAGCTCAAGAAAGAAGAAACAACCCATGAGACTAAGGGTTTGTCCCACACTGCTGACCATATTCAAATCAGGAGACAGAAGGCTTTCTAGAACAGGCACCTCCAAAAATGTGAACAATCTTCTCATACAAAAGTCTACAAACGCATGTGGGAGAGAGTATTTTGACATCTTTATCCTTATAAGCCCAGCCTTTACATCACGGCAACGATGCCCAGTTCTCCTAGAAGGAAGGAGACTTCCAGGAGCAGCTGGGATAGACAGGTCTGGCATGCAGTGGTGCCAGCCCAGCTGAGCAAGCCGCTACGGCCACCTCCCGAGCTCGCTGCTCTCCCCCAGCAGTACCTCCTCCTCATACTGATCCTGAACCCGTGCCAGGACCTCCTGGTGCTCCTCTTTCATCCTCTCCATTTTCCTTTCGTGGTCTTTTTCCACTTCCCGGCGTTTCTCTCTCATAAGCTCGCTGAGCTGTAGGGATGACATGGAAAGACATTTCCCTGAACTACGGCATTGCACCACGGTGGCTCCCGAGCACGCAGCCTCTCACACGAGGAGAAGGACCGAAGGTCAGAGGACTGGGCCAGCTGGACAAGGCTGTGGCCTGGGCAGCCCAAGGCAAATGCTCTGGTGAGCTGAGACACTGCAGGGGCTTCTCCCTTCCCCTGGGGCACCACTGTCACCCCAGGCACAGGACGTGGACTCTCAGACCTCACCGTGCAGCCAAGGATAGAAAGTGAAGAACCTTCACTTCACAAGATGAGTACTTGCCTCGTGTTCGTATTCCGCTACTCGATAGGCTTTTTGCTGCACTTTCTGCTCTGCTCTCTGCAAGTCGTCGTGCAGCTGAGCCTCCTCGCTCCTCTGTGCCTCTGCTATCTGCGTTTGCAGGCTGGAAATGACCTGCCATGAAAGCCACCCACAGAGACTTGTCACCCTTCTGACAAGATCCATTCAGTGCCCTCCTACAGGGAGCAAGCAGCATGGCAAAGACCAGTGTTTGCAGTCTCACCACCTCCTCCTTGGAGCATGTCCAAATGCTGAGCCAGACCAGAACCATGTTTATGAAGTGGAAAAAAGTTAATGCCACCCTCCCTGGCCACCTTTGGTGAGAGTGTGGGAAAAGAACAAACCTATTTACATTCTAAGGACACCATCTTTTACCTTATGATGCTTCTCCTCTGCTGCAGATTTCAGCTGCTGGAGTTCAGTTGCAAACTGTTTCTCTAGCTCTTCTACTGCCTACGAGAACATGAGCAAAAAGCCTGCTGAGAAACCTCTACGAGCAGGGACATGCTGTACAAGATGCCTTTGTAATTAACTTCTACCCATAAGCATCAAGAAGCACTACAGCAACCCCCTTCCAAACTGGATGACGTACAAGACGCCTTTATTCTCTGTGTGTTTTCCTTCCCAGCAGATCTCAATGGATTTCAGTCATGCTGGGCTGGAAGGACTACGAACCGCCCCGTTCGAGAGCTCTCCAGAGAACTGGAGCAGCAGCCAAAGAGGGATCCTGACCGGATAAAATGGCTCAGTTTACCTTGGCAGAGACACACTGTGACCTGTCTTTGTTCTTCAGACGCAACGTGGCCATTTAAATAATTGGTATTTAATCACCATTGCAATAAAAATGAGGAAGCTACTCCTCCCCACCTCGGTCATGCCTAACAGCATGCCTAGCACCTTCCCTTCATGCTCCAAGGCAGGCATTAGTAAAGCACACGCAGGTATCGAGTTTCAACGCTTTAGCCATTGCGGTGCAAGGCAGGCCAGCAAGAACAGCATGGGTCTGAGCCTGGCTGGCAATAAAGGTCTCACCTTCTGCTTTTCCCTGTCTAATCTCTCCTTGAGCTCACTCAGGAATTGCTCCTTCTGTTCTTCCAGCTCAGTCCTTTCTCTCTGCTGAGCTTCCTCCAATTCCAGCTTCATTTTCTCCAAATCAAGCTGCCACTTCCTCTCCAGGCTCTCCTTCTCCATCACCTGCTGGGACTCCCACTCTTCTCTTAGTTTCTGCAGTGCCACCTCTTGCTCTGCCCTGGTATGTTTGCAACAAGAACACGGGCAGAAGCAAGTCAGAATTCGGTGCTTTACCACTGGACTCCATTTAGGAACCAGAGGCAAGAGAAGATGCTGCTGTGGGATAGAACACAAAGCCAGGAGAAACAGAGAACCACAGCCTGCAGACTCACAAGGGCATCAGCTAAGGCCTTGGAAACAGAGAGCAAAGCAGTCAGGTGGAGACCCATCTGCCAACTAAGTAGTAAAGAAATAACGAGTAAGTTTTTCAGTGTCTGCCTTCTCCGATTGCTTTTGCAGGCCTTGAGAACATCACGCGAGACATGTCCCTCCCAAACCAGCAGAGCTGATGTCCCCAGGCACGGCAGCAGAACATCTCACCTCATCTTCTCCTTCTCTGCCTCTGTCTCTGCGGTGATTTTGGCTCGCAGCTTTGAGAGTCTCTCAGTTTCCTCCTTTCTGACACGCAGCTCTTCCTCCTCAGAAACCTTTGCCAAATCTTCTTTCAGAGCCCTGAGGGATGAGCAGCCAAAAAAAAGGTTCAGAAGGCTTAATATCTTCAGACGGCCTCCCCAGGGCATACAGCCCAGCTGTGCCTGCCCAAGTGATGCACTCCCAGGGCTCCTGACCCTTAGTTCTCCTCCGTACCTTCCGAACACGGTTGCTGGTGCAGACCCAGTCCCCGGGCGGCAGCCTTTGGGGTGCATTTTTAAAATGCACTGTATCATTACAGGTGGCACTTGGGGTTCCCCCCGCCGGGTAAATGGGATTAACTCCTACTCAACAGAAGCAGGCTCCCAGCCGAGGTACCTGGGCACATCAGCACACCTGCAAGCTTCATATTTTCACATGACACCCTTTTCACTACTGCTTTACTACTGCATAGGCTTTTTCCCTTCAAATATGATTTCCAAGTCTTCCTTCGCACCCACAACAGCATCCCCGTGATATTTCATGTCGAGACACTGTTTCTGGCTGGCTCAGCGTGCTAAGAGCGTAGGTATCGAGGCCACCAGCAATAAAACACAAGCTTGAGAAACGCCCAGCCCAGAGAGAGGACACAGCTCCCAGTACTGCCGTTAGACTCCCACGCGCTGGCTGGGTTTCACGCAGACATCCATGTCCTATCCCATGAAACCCTGTTTGGGACCCCCTCCGTAAAACAAGCAGTACCCAGTTTCAAACAGTTCCTCTGGGGTCACCTCCTCTCCTCTATTGCTCCCATTGCAGCCCTGCGACTACCATTTGGCCCGGGATCCGAACGGCCGCCAGGCGGTAACGCTGCACGTGCCGAACAGGAAACTCCTCCCAGGCCAGCCACAAGAGATGGTTCAGAGCTCCGAAAGCTGCCTGCGCATCCACCACGGAGCTCGTCCTGCAGGACACGGGCAGATGCTCTCGCCTGCACGGAGAGTGCCTTCCCGAGGCAGCCCACCCTCTCTCCTCATCCGCTTTACGCATGCACGGCGCTGACAGCGGATCGCTGCTCGCTTCAAGACGCGCCGATCCCCACGCACGGGGCAGTCTGTGCCAGGCAGGGAGTCCCGTACTCCTCCTCCTCAAAAGCCACCTTCCTGCCTCCCTCACCCACAGCTCTGCAAACTAGCACTGCTTCCACGGTGGCCTGTAACAGCACAAGCCTGTGGCCACCAGCAACGAAATCGCAGGTAGAAAAGGCTCAGAAGGAGAAGATGGAGTAAAAGAAGGAAGTACCTGAGGGATTTTTCTTTTTGCTGACAAAGCTTCTGAGCTTCCTCCTCCTCTTGCTGCCTCATCTCCTCCTGGAATTGCTGAATTTTCTCCACCTTTGCTTGCAATAAATGCATTCTCTCTTGCTCAAGCTCTGTCACCAGCTCCTTGGCTATCCCCTCCAGAGATTCCTCACTAGGCTGCTTCAAGAGCTGCTCATGTTGGATTTCCTTCTCAGGTTGCCTGCCAAAAGGACAAAGCTTCTTCAGCAAAAGGGTGACGGAAAACTGAGCAACACAAAAGCAGCAGCAACACGCCCCAGACAGTACCAACTCTAAACCCGAAACCTCAGCAGTGCCCACTCCACAGGCATCCCTCTCGGCAAAGGGCACGGACGCGCGGAGCCCGCGCTGACGCCAGCCGCTCGCTGGCTGCGACGGAGCCCTCGCTCCCGAGCTCACCGGAGCAGGGAACAGCCGTGTAGAGGGTGCAGGGGCAGAAGCCAAGCTCGCTGCAGGAAAGGACTCCTTGCAAGGCTGGGGGGGAACACGCAGCACGTGCTCCAGGTTGAGCAGCGTGTTATCTCGGGTAAGAGACCGGGGATGTCCCTGCACACCGCCAGCAGGCCCCCTCGCTGGCTCCCACGGAAACTCGGGCTGATGAGTTAAACCCAGCCCTAGCAGCACCCCGGTCCCCAACGACCCTTATTTTGGCCCACCTTGCGAGGGCACAGCTTCACAAAGAATCCAGTAGCTCCAAAACCCTGGCCAGGGCTGCCGGGCACAACAGCTGCAGTCAGTGCCCATGCCCAGCCCAGGGCTTGGCAGCACCTTCCTGATGGACCAGGTATTTTTCTGCTATTGCAACATGAAGCATGCTGGGAGCTTGCCAGCTCTAGGCAACAGAAAGCCCTAAGTGCTCCAAAAATTCAAACCCAATCTGTTTCTAATTAAGTTTTTTTTCCAGACAGAGAGCAGCAAAACTATAAGGTCTGAGAGAGGCTGGAGGGGAAAATGAAGATTAGTCTAGGAACAGCATTTTTATTCTTTGCTAGCGCGAGCCGGAGCAGCAAGGTCTCATCGTGCTCCGAGACCACTGGCAAAAGGCAGAGGGACTTCTGTTTTGCCAGGAATCAGGGCAATAAGGGCCCCAAGTCAAAGAGAAAAGGTCACTTATGCAGCCATTAGCAAAAAAGAACGAGACAAAGGAAAGAGTCGTCGGGCTCTGGAAAAGTCCTGCCGTGCTAGCACTCGCCCGTAAGGCTGCGTGCTCCGGGCCAACTGCAGAGCTGCCCCCAGAGGGGTCATTTATAGGGCTGCTCAGCAAAGCCATTCAGCCCCCTCCACCTTTTCGTCACGTTCTTCCTTTTGCCCCAGTTCTCACTCAAAAAGAGATCCAGCCACACTCACGCTTACCCACTCGACAATTCCCAACAGAAAAAGGGAGACACTGTGCTGGTCTCTGCATCAAAGATTGCTTCCTTCTCCACTACTCCGTCCTGAGAGACACACTGCCTATTTTTTCCCAGTTACATCTGCTGATCTGTCATTTGACAGGGAAAGCAAAGTCAGCACAATCGCTTTTCCCGAGATGCTCTAACGCAGCGGAGCCGCGGGCACGCGGCTGCACAGGCCATCGGTTTCCTACAGCAACAGCTTCCGCCGGAGCCGGAGCGCTCCCGTCCTGCGCTCCCGCCTCGCTCCCGCCAAGCCACCAACGCTCCCTGGGACTGTAAAAACGGGGTGAGTCGTTGGGTTTTTGCTGCTCCTCCCCAGTCTCAGCAGTGAGCTCGGGAGTCTGTGCGGAAGCGTTGATCCCCGGAGGGTGAAGGCGCACAGCCCCGTTGGCGACACCGCTAAGGAGGCAGCGGCTTTTCCAAGCGCAAAGCTCCGTACCACGGAGCCCCGTGCCACGGGCCCCGCGGGCTGAGCTGCTGTTCTCGCCCTCCCCGGTGCAGACGGTGCGCTTGGCACTCTCGCCAGCGGAACAGCTGCTTGGATTGGCACACGGAGATGTTCGAGCTCCGCTGTGCCCACCAAACCGCACCTCCTGGTGTGCGGACTTCACACGCCAGCTTCAAACACCACGAAGGGGAGCGAAAGGACAAAAGCTGTTTTGCTCACAACACTGGGGACTTAAATGAAGCCCTTACACTTTCCACAGGGCAGCGGGCTCCTCCACATCGATCAGGCTATCCAGTGATTCCTCCTCCAGCCCCTGCGCCACAGCCTCTTCTCCATTGGGATTTTCTGATGCCAAACACTTCTCTCCTGGTGTTTCACAAACACTTTGATCCCTCTCACTTTGCAGCACAAAAAAAAAGGTAACAGGAGACCAGATTAGCACAGATGAGATGCCAGTGGCTGCAGCAGGTAGACAAGACAGAGGGAAGACAGGATGTGCATGCGACTAGACAGGCACCAAGCCATGCCTGCCAACAGGACCCGTTTGTCCAACATGGGGCTGCCAAAGACACAGCAGAGCTCCAACCCATTCCCACCACCTCAAGCCCTGCCAGGCTAACGGGCAGCTGAGGATGTAACGGGTGTCAGTCTCAAAATGCCGAATCCCTTCCCTGGATTGTCCCCCCTCTCCTTCCAAGTCCTCAGAGGATCTCCCCAGGGTAAGTCAGCCCTATTAGCAATACTCACACTGTTGTCCAAATTACAGATGGAAATATTGGCAGGCATGTTTACATCTACAGTCCTACTTCATCTTGGAAGGACAGAAAGGGAGAAGGCAAGCACGAGCTAGCTTTACAGGCAGAGAGAAAGAAAGGACGCACAGCTGGGAAGCAGGTACCAAGTGATAAGGAGACAATTCCTGTGGGCAGAACATGTTTTCAGGGACCTTCACACAAATGGCTCCTCTAAGAAAACAGCTGCAAATCCCATGTGTGCACAGCCAGTCACCGAGATGGACTGCAGCTTCTTCCCTTCACGAGCTTCCCTGGCACAGGCAACAGCTTCTTGGTTGCCAGTGCCCCAGAGTACGTGTAACTCTGTGCAGAGGTACAGTGTTTTGACACAATTCATCTACAAATGCCACACGCCGCAGCTCTCAAAGGTGGAGGAGAAGGGCTCAGGAGCATGGAGCTCACTGCTCAGCACCGTACTTCAACTGTGTTAAACAAGTCACCAGAAACAGGCTGGAAGCAGCTCCCCTGGACAGTCTAGTCCTCGCAGTAACTAAGGGTCTGGGAGCCCGCATCACTCTTGAGGTTCCAGCTGGTACACTCTAGAGAGTTGTCCACATACCAGGATACGGAATAGCTTAATGCTTACACTTGGTCAACCAGTGACCTGCTCTAGGCCACCCCTACAGAAGGCAGTGGAAGAGAATTGTGCCCATTGCAGCTGGGCTCTCCTGCCACCAGTAACAGGCACGAGGTCAGCCCTGGGAGCCTTCAGCTGCCAGCTGTGCCCAGTGCCAAGCCGGCAGCCCAGCCAGCCCAGCTGACCCCCCCGCTGACGAGGGGGGGGCTGCCTCAGAACCAGAGAGGTCTGTCACGGGGCAGCGGCCAGTGGCCAAGTCTTCCACAGTCAAACATCACAGGGTGAAACAACGTTAACAGATTCAGACCATCTCGGCAAGAGCGTGACTTTCGCAGCCTCAAAGTCAGACAGCTGCAAGGGAAGCAGAAGCCAGCTCACATCTGGGGCAGTCACGAGGACATGAAAGACAGGCAGTTTTGCTGCCTACTGAGCCAGAAGGTGAAACAAAGCTGAGACAGTACTACGGAGGTGGCAGGAGGAGTGAGGGGTTTAGTGAGAAAGACTCTGCGAGAAGCTGCAGCACCTCAGGGTGTTCTCCAGGGGATGCCTGTGCAGGTCACAGTGACCAGAGCAGGGGCAGACAAGACAGGAAAGTCATCTGGAATTACAGCTGTCCATGCCTCCTTTCTCACTCTGCTTGTACCATACCTCTCAGCAGCTTTTGTTCTTTTGCTCTGCTCTTCCTCCTCTAGACTGGCTTTGCTCTGCTCTTCCTCCTCTAGACCGGCTTTGCTCTGCTCTTCCTCCTCTGCTCCTGGCTCCCAGGCCTGCAGGTAAAAGCAAACAGCATGGAATTTGCTGGCTCCTTCACCATCAAAGCCTCTCAGGACCTCACAGCCGCTCTGCTGAAGGGCAGATCCTGGCTCCTTGCTCCAGAACACATCAGTTTGGGTGCTGCTAAGGAAGCCAGACCCCTCAGTTCACCCTCTGAGCAACTTCAGGTGGCTTGTTTTTGACATAGTAAGTACTTGAAATACAAATAGCAAATATTTGAACATGAAATAAATACTCAGCCGCTCCTTTTCCCACCTGCAGCTACCAGGTGCCTCTGTCCCTGCACAGGCACACACGGACACACGCTGTGCAGCTCACCCAGGGAGAGGGACAACTCCCCTCTGCAAGCTGTCAGCCCCACATGAGAACACAGTGAGGCCTCATCCTCCCTGTTCAGGTTTCTGGCCCCCCGAAGAGCAGCCCATTCCTAAATTTTTGGGGACAGAAAGAGCAGGTGAGCTCAGCCCTTGCCGTGGGGGAACGTACTGTGGAGCATGGCCAAAAGACCACAGAATTAAAACAGCAGTAACTTATGCAAATGTTCAGTGGAGCAAACAGCAGAAGGATTCCCTGCAAGTGCTGTCACCTTCCATCACATCAGCCTGGTCAGAGCTCTCCCAGGCAGCCCCCCCCAGCCCCGGTGTAAATAATGACTTCAATTCCCAAGAACCGACGAGCTCAGCAAATGTTTCCTGGCTCAAAACGGGCTCTGTCACAGCTGCCTGTAAGAGGAAAGAAGCCAGACAAACGGAGAACGAGGTCTTCCTGGGAACAGGGATAACCAGTCACAGAGTCATGCTGCTGAGCTCACAGCTGCACCCCTGCCCAGCGCACCTTTCCAGGAGGGCAGCCCCCACCAGAAGTCACGGGCTGCAGGAATCTCCGAACACATCTGGGAATGCCAAGAGAGCACCTGCCTGCAGGGAGTGAGGGCTGGTTTTAAGCCTTGTCTGAAGCTACCAAAGAGCCTCACCCTTCCCTCAGTGCCTCAGGACTCCCAGCTGTCCCAGTGCCACCACCAGCTTAGCTTTCTGCTCTGCCCAAATGCCTGGCTGCGTCCCACAGAGGCCATCTCCCATGCTGATGACACAAAGCTGGTCCTGTGGGCACAGGAAGGCAGGATGACAGATAACAGGCTGTG